ATATGCTTGCTAGATCATGCATATGAGGCACCATTAGCAAATGTCAAAATGGAATGCCAAAGGTGGCCAGAAAAGCCATTGATATTGGGGAGGTCTGGAACCAAGTATGTTGCCATGGTAACAAAACTGTCATGCTCGTATTGTGGAGCACATTTAGAAGAATGTTACTGCAATGAATCAAACATTTCTGATACAAATTGGCTGAGATATCTTTCTTTATTACATTTCATGAAAATTTGGTTGAGTGTATGACGTCATCATTTGGCTAATTTGCATATTTTAAAAACTTGAATATCTTTGGAATGAAAAGATATATTTGAAAAATAGTAAACAGCATTTTTCTTCTCATACAGAGTACTTGTTTATGTCTTAAAATGGCTTAGATAGGAAAGATAAGATTTTCGTCATAGTACCACTTTAAGCATACGTTATGCATTGATTACTTCCCATTCTTGGAAGTTTAGTTTATCGCGATAGTAGTTATCTTTGTTTTAGTTTTTGAAAATCATTTTGTTGACTGGACGCTATTCCTGCCAGTCGGGAACAGAGTTCCCGAAAATTTGTATCCGATCAATTGGGCTAAATCTTCGTGATGTTCTCGGATCAATGTCAATACAATACAATAGCATATCTGTGTTGCTGTGTTATTTCGTCTTTACAGTTTGCTATTTTCTTTTCATAGGCGTTTTTAAAGCAAAAGCGAGACACTGCCAAGAAAGGAACTGAACTAATCGAGTACAAAGAGCAACTGGCGACACAAATTGAAGAGCAAGAGGAGAAGTTACAAATGATCGAGAGAGAGGTAAGACAATGTATCTCTTATTGTTTGATTCATTACTATAGTGCCTGCATATCATTTAAAACTTCATGGCTTCGTGGCCACTAATGTCATTGGTGTTCTTGCTTCTCACAGATTCTTAGTTTTAAACAGTTTTAGACAATGAAATAATTCAGTTACTTAATTCACTTTGTGTTGCTATCCCAGACAGTATTTGACCTTTCCTGCTAAGACTGTCCTGGTTTTCATGGTTACTCAAGACCCTGTGGGATTTTATGCCAACGTGTTACGTTTCACCCTTCAGTTAACGTCGATTAAGTTGAAGGACACCAAGTTTCAAAATACAAACTACAGTTGTATGAACTTTTTCTAATATTCTTACGCCGGCTTCTTTCACGTTTTCACTTCAATGGAGATAAGGTTGTAACGAAATAAGATACGAACGGTTGCGTGACAATTCAAGACGACCTCTGTTACTCTGTTATGAATTATAGGTTTTCAAAGGTCATTGCGTCAACGTCTTATTATACAAGGTTTCGAACGCATTTAGCAACTAGAAGAAATGCAATAAACGCGTGGAGGAAAACAGTGAAACTCAGACTCGCTTGAGCCACTTAAAAACAGCCGAAAACACTTCCGTATTTTTGACTGCTAAATACGCATATCGTATATCTTATTAACCAAGCGTGAAGGCCGTAGAGATATCGGCCTCAGCTACTGACAGTGCGGATCGTGGTTCAGTACAAAAAACACCAAGGACTTATACTCTCCCAATACGGCCCCGAGCAAGCTTACTTTTATAATAAGAGATTTATTACACGATTGAAAATGTCAAAAAGAGAAGAAGGAAGAGAAAGTTGGGAGAAAAAGAAAACCCACATTTTTAAATACGTGGAAGTTAATTCTTTTAGAATAGTAAGTCGTGAAACTACAAGAAACTTATGAGTAGTGGCGTGGATCATTTAACTTGGAAAATATAGGAGTTCTGTTTGGTGGATTTTTGAGATTGGTCCTCTAAAGAAACTTGGTAGTGTAATAAATGTGCTCACGAAATGAGCTGGGGATACCTGTGGCATTTTTATTTATTGGCTCTTCTGTATTCTGTATTAATGATTACATGATGTTCTATCCATGTTTGACCACAGTGACATGGAAAAAGTTACCACTTGCTAAATTTTCCTTTGTCGTCAGTGACTGAAACTTATCACGTGGTACGATCTTTCGCGGGAATCACTGTATTTAACAGTTAGATGCTGAGCTCGAGGTTTCTATTGGCGGCTAGTTTTATAGTTCAGAAACTTCATGAAAACTCGAAGTTGACACCATTTTCAGGAGATCTTGGCGCTGTCTATCGTTTACCTGATAGTCGGGCGGTGGGCTTTGCTAATGATCGATCGATGCAGTTGGTCGACTTGTAAAAATTGTTTCAACTATGCGTTTCCGTGAAGTTTCTGAAACAAAAACGATGTTTTTCAATAGATTGGTCAGTTATTATCACAGAGACGGCTCGCTCTCGGTTGGCCTGGGTCTTTGCCCATCGTTAACTATCAGCAGATAGATACCAAGTACTGACCGTGAAATTGTTACTTAATCTACATTGAGGTTTGTTGATTGTCGTAGAATCTAAACACAAGTGAATTGCATGCCCAAGGACTGCGGTGTCGAGGAGAGAGACACGACCTTGTTATAGCGAGACAAAAGGAAGCTTTAGCGGACTTTAGAGATCGAACAAAGACACTGGAACAACTCAAACCACCTCGTAAGTTGGAAGTCATCTGCAAAATGTTAAGTGAAACGAAATCGTTTTGTTATCAAGGGTGACCCCGGTGAAACGAACAGTTGACAAACAACGGATATCACCGTATAATCTGTCTGTAATGTTGATATATTAAGGTTGTTCTGCATAAAACTGAAGTCATGACTATTACAAATCACTTGTCCATCTCAGCAAGGAATCACATCCAGAACTAAATTAGAATAACATAGCACATGGAGATTTGTTTTTTCGTTTAAACATGATAGATCTTGAGAACTTCCCTATGAGGAATGAAAACTGAGGGTCTTTAATTTAGCCTAGACGTAAAATTTTTGTTAAGCTTGACGAAAATTTTGTTTGCCTTCAGTTCCCAACCATGAACAAGCTCTACAGCAGATTGTGGCTCTTAAGAAAGAAGTTAGTGAACTGAGAGCGAAATTAGCTTCACAAGAGGAAGACTATCACAAAAGCGAGGGTGAAATGCATGCTGAGGTATTATGGATGGTATTATGAATTCCTTGCTCTACTAGGTAGAGCAAGGAATTCCATGCCCTCGTTGTTTAACGTACAAATTACTGGCAATATAAAATTCATGGACCTAAGTGGCTTGATTTTCTCCTGGGCTGAGTACTTGGGTAGTCCACAGTGTTGTAGGTGAGGTGCCACGCTTAGCGTATAAACCCCATAGGGTTGGTAGCTACCTCCGGGATCTTATATGCAATGTCAGTGACGACAGAGTGGAAAACCGCTGTGATGTGTGGCAGCGGAAAGTATGCGCGAAAATCGGTTGAGAAACACCAATTGGCTGCAATCCTTTGAAGGTCGTACTACGAAAGGTATTTTATATTAAATTCCTGTACCCTTGCGTAAGATAGTGAAGTTGAATTGTTGGTGATATAGTTTTCTTTTTAACCCCAAACAGTTGAGAATTCGTCGTGAGCAAGCTTCCTCTAGCTTGGCCGAGACAGAAGGGGAGAAAGGTGCTCATCGGCAGACAAAAGAAGCGCTGGACTTGAGTGAAAAAACGGTCAGTTGGCTTCTTGCCACAGTGTACTTAACAATACGCTCTGGATAGCTACTATTTGTACTTTTTACAGAAAGAGCAGTTTGAAAGGAGCTGTGTTTTATCCTTGCTGAATCGACGCCAGTGTGATTTATTTCATAAAACTAAAATACAATTTCATTCATTGGGCCCTTTCGGTGGATAAGTCAAGAATAGCTCACAAAAGCGGGTGCATATCAGCGTTACTTCGTACTATCCCCTTATCCTTCCATCTCCTCATCCTTCCATCACCTGCTAGCCTGGTACCAAGTAACTCAGGCTTGAGAGGACAACAACGAGCGATCACAGAAGACCGGCTTTATAGTTAGAAAGTTGCTTAGTGTTAATTAATACTACCTTTAGAAATCAAATAGACACATTAAAATGAGTTGTATATTTAAGTCAGTGTCATTGTTTCTTTACAAATTCTCACTAAGTGTTTTTTTTCCATTGTTATCACGTGCAACAGTATCTTAAGTTAGCTCGTACACTCGGAGCATTGTTAGAAATTGACCCGGTACCAGGCTGTCGCTCGATGGCGCATCTACCTGTGGAGGAACGAGAAAGACTGGAACTGGAGAGGACGAAGGTACTTTGCAACACAAAATCTTGTTATTTTCCAACTCTCCGTGTACCGTCGTTCTGTACCTTTATCCTGTTTACTTTAACATTTACATTGGATTCTTGCAAAATCACCCTGGGACATAAGCGCAAGATTAAACAAACAAAATTTCAATACAAAAATACCCTAACCCTAACCCTGAATATATAGGGAAAGCTCAAATAAATGGAATAGAATTGCAACAAATAAATGTGGTCAGAGATGGGCCTTTAATTTTGTGTAGGAGTCTATCGATAAGTAATCAGTAATGTATCTTTCTTACTACTTAAAAAGTAGTTTACAGGAAGTGTTAACATTATCCAAGTTAAGGTATCTTCTTCTTGTCTTTGACCTTCTAGGCTGTGGAACTGATGGTTTCCAAAGTTCAACAGATGTACGAGCGAATGGAGCGGAAAGTTCAACTGCTGGGGTCATATGAGGATGACTTAGTGCATCTCAGGTTAGGAAATGCATGTCATTTTTCTTGAAAAGAGACGAGTAAGTTCTGATTGAGAAAAGGATGGATATTCAAATGTGGATGGTCATCACATCACTACCACACGGGTGTGGACTAACCAATATTTCTCTTGCATCGCAGAAAGAGTGAGACCATGGCAGGACAGAAAACAGCAGAGGCGACAGGCCTGAAGGTTTGACTTGTTACTTTATTATATGGCACACTCTAACACTTCCGCAATAACGAGGAAAATGAAATATTACTGCTATAATTTTGTCCTGTCAATGTTTTGGATTGTCTTCAATCCCGTTGTTCTTTTGCATTTTGTTCAGCTAATAGCGCTGTTGCTCATTTTCTTGTTTTATGTGGTATAGATGGATGTTCGAAATCGCCAAGAAGAAATTTCTTACCTGAGAGCATCAATGACCAGACTACGAGACGAGCTGGATCAACAACGAAGACTGAACGTCTGTTTAAAAGAAAGAAAGGTAAGGCTTTTAAAACTTGTGGTTGGACTCATTCGAATGAAGTGATTCCACATTCAAGGAATCGAATTTAAAAGATCCTCGCGGAATTTTCCACCAGCCTGCGTGACAGAGAGTTTGTGCCTGTCATACCTCCATTAACAGTCCTGACGTCTTACTGCTGCTACATTTTATTATTATTATTATTATTATTATTATTATCGTTATTATTAATACAACATGAACTACAATAGGACGATTGAAGGAGATACAAAAGATAATACAGAAGGTAATGTGTGTTACAAAAAAAAAAAATACAAAAAATACACAAAAAAAAGAATTACAAACTATTACATGGCTGCTAATGGCTTCATGAGGGTGTGAGGTGTTTGTTGTTTTTCGCATTGCCCTGCTCCGTCCAAACACGAGTTAGGATGGACGACGGACACGTCAAAGTTCGGTTGTTTGATTTTCGGAGAACTTGGGAGCACTTTAGTGACGTAAATAGTCGTAAAACGTAATTAAGGTCATTAAGAAACCTTAGATACATGGTTACGGAATGATGACGTTTGACTGCAATCACCATAATCCAATGCGTGTTATGCTTTGTACAGAAATTTGCCATGGACATGGATGAACGGGATACCAAGAGATCAACTCACAGTTGTTATATGGACGAACATATGCGGTACAAGGTAACGTATCCAAGGACAGGCTGAGTAAAACTGCTACAAAGTGATATATGTTTTGCGGTCTACAGTTATTAAACGCAGCTGAATTTAACCGAAAGTCTGTAAATCACCCACTGTTTCTGGATACATTGGGTTAGTCACGTGCCTAGTTCTGACGTTGTCTAATTGGGGACGAGACAGCAATTTTTACGTTGTCATTTGGGCCATGTGAAAGTGCAACAATTTGCAGATATCAAAGGCGTTTGTTCTCCCGTTATACAGTAGGTGACTAATTCCTGTTGCTGCTAAATAGATCCAGGCTGAGATTTATGTGCGTTTTGGGGTGATTTATAAACGTCTTGCCTGGTGTAATTTCCGGCCTTTGAGCTTAAATTAAGTTCCTTATAGTAAGTTATTTTACCTTGAACTCGTGGATATGAGATTGTTTCTTTTCTTTCTCTTCTAGGAAGCACTGAAAAAGAAAAAAGCAGCAGAGAAACTCAAACGAAAAAATTATGAAATAGAATCACTAAAAAAGGTATTCGCTTGCTGTTTTTTTCCTTCTATAGCGGAATCGTTAGTAACGTTACTTTTCATCCTATTAATCTGTTTTAATTCCCATCAGGAACTGATTTCCGCTGACCGGGAACTAAACGAGACCGCTGTCAAGCTGCAGCTTCTTGAATCCAGTAGAGTAAGTTAACAGCTGTGGTGTATGCCTTACAGTGAGAAAGGATGAATGATATCCCTACAGGCCTTACAGTAAGAAAGGATGAATAATATCCTTACAGGCCTTACAGCAAGAAAGGATGAATAATATCCCTACAGGCCTTATTACAAAGTAAATCCCTCTCAAGTTATTTTTAGATTACTTCGGACTTCAGAAATCCCAGTAGAGTATTGAAATAGCCAATCCTGTGACGCGAATTTTACTGACGTGGACAGCCAATGCGGCTTTACAGCAGCACGCTTTTTTATCCTCCGCGGTAACAGTATCGGTAACAGTATTGGTAACAGTATCCGCGAAAGGTCTGGATACCAAATTTATCATAAGTAACTTGAGAGGAGACACTTTGACAATTAGGCCTGTATGGAGGGTTAACTCACTTACGCTTCATAGAGATTGAAAGAAACGGGTTGAAGACCTGGCCGCGTTCATTGTACTTTGCTCTGGGGGAAGATACTTTTCTACTGTCTCCCGTAACCTACGTTAAGAGATAGGAGCGGAGTTAAGGAGTACGAAGGGCGGAGAGGAGTACTGACTAGCATAAGCAAAGCAAAATTCGTTAGTGAATGTCAAACGTTCAGCCCTGCTCTAAAACTAAGATTGTCCGGGTAACTTGCCTCTCAACGGCTGAAGCAATCGGAGTTGCACGGTTTCGGGGTAAAGTAGAGTTCTGTGTAAGATCAGTCTCACAGGTGATTGACATGGTGACGCATCTTACGCGGCCTTATTGCTAAGCACTCCTTCACTCCTTCCCCCACCCCCGGCGCCTCCTGCCAAACGTAAACGTCAAGAAACGTGCTGCTTGTAGCAGGATGTATTTCACTTGACCGTTTCTTGTGGCCCGCACGAGACAAGTCTTACGAAATACTGACTCATGGGACACTAACTAAAGATTCTTGAGTTGTGACGTAGTTTTTTTTTTCTGTTGTAGAATTTAACAAGTGCTCGAAGTGCCCACAGTGAGGACAGTGTTCTGTTAGATTATGATGAATAATAATCACGTGCATTCTACAGTACTGCCCTCTACCATGCGTGATTTTCTCCTCACGAGCGAGAATTATGTTCATGCATGTGACAGTCACGTGGTCTCGCCAGATCTCGTGTCTTCAGCCCGCAACGAGTACTTGGCTTTATCCTGCTTCAGCAGTTTACTGTGACGTTGTAACGTGTTTAACGACAAAAACGGAGAATGTCGAATACCTTCTTTTAATGGATTATTGAGTTACAAGATAAGAGCAAAATAAGAGAGACAAAATAGCAATAATACAAAAAGGTCGCGAAAGACGCGGCTTGTGTTCAAAGCGAAGTTGTTCATACATCATGAGCCAGTCAACCTAAGAGCGGCGTTCACGTTTACAAAATCATTTTAGTTACACTATGTTAATTAAGTGACAGCGTTTGTCAACATACTCGGATTTTATTGTAAATACGACATTAATGTACCTAGTAATAAATTATAACGTGTTTAAATTTAAAAATCTTTTGAAATCATAGTTTTTTTCTCGTCGTATTTTTTCTGTGGCAGTCATTGGAGAATTAATTTGGTTTTCATGACCAAAGGAGTGAAGAGTACGGGGCACCAACTTTCCTTTGATTCCCACAATACTTATTTGTCTTTCACAGACCATCTCTAGGATCCTGGAGAGAGCGATATAAATAAGACTGGTAGCCAGATTGGCATACAGTGATGGTTCACGAATCTACATTTACTGAACTAGGAGAACAGGTTGATCTGTTCGGCTCAAATAAACGAGTAATTTTAAATTTCGCCTTCTCAGGGAGCTGTCGTTTATTTGAATCAGGAGTTTATTCGGGATCTCGCGTTAAATCCGAAAAATTAAATGCTTCTTCGAGTTCTTAAAAGGAGCAACTTTCTTTCATTCACTTACGTAATGAAATATTATTGAATCAATAAAATGACATTTTTCAGTCAATAGCTAGAGTATTTACTAGCACTGTTGTGTCCCATATCAGTATTTTTTGTATTTTTTATGAGCACAAGGCTTTCCCGCGGCAGTGCAAGAACCGCAACCAAATCTGAACCGACTTAAAGAATTTCATTCAATGCAACCTTAAAACTCTTAGTGTGTACGAAACCGGAAAGTTTTTTAGTTATAGAAACATTAGGGACTCTGTAGCATAAAAGTTGTGAGTAACGAGCTTAGGCAAACAGTGTTTTTTTCCAGATTCAAAGCCCGAGAAAACCTAACCCTTAAACGTCAAATGTTTATCACGCTTGTCATATGGGACAGGCAGGTTGTCATTTTCGTTCACGAGTTAGCTCACAGACGCCTTTGATTAACAAATATATTGTGATGATAATGATGATGATGATACAAGTTTTTCCCTTATTATATTACGATAACGCAAAGAGCTTCGTAAGTTTGTGCAATAACGTCAATTGGAGTTGTACCCTGCCATGAGCGTGGGAGATGCATGGGATAAAACCGCGATGCAGTGTTTACCTTGGATAACCCACCCGTGACATGATTTTCGGTATACTGAAAAATCAAGTCACTCCATGCATCAAGAGAGAACATTACGTGACTAGTATATACTGAAGGCAAGCCTTCAAAAGCTCAGCAAACCCGCTGGTAAAATTAAGCGTTCGACTTGTGACACATCTGAATCATGAACGACTTCGTTTGCTTTCTTTGCGCGCGCTAATTAAACGCGTCATAATAGCATAGTATTTCTTCCTGTTTGCTTTATTTGACTGATTAAGCACGGAAGGACTTCCCTTCCCTTTCAGCTTCTTATTTCTGAAACATTTCCTCATGAAGTTTCAATCAAGGATAGGATCCACCAGATACGGCTATGGAAATCTTACCAGATGATATTTGGTTGGAGGTATTTACATTCCTTTCTCAGAGAGATCTTCTCAGAATTGCGCTCGTCTGTCGTACCTGGAACCGCCTGTCACGTGACAGCTCACTTTGGTCTCGCCTTGATCTTGAACCACTCGCCAGATCACTGTCTAATAATGTAATACAGAGGTTGATAAATACCATGTTTGCACCTCTTGGGAAACACCTGAGCCTCAATAAGAACCTTGTAACGACGGAGATTTTGCAAGGTTTGTTCGAACATTGCTATAGACTAGAAAGCTTGAGTCTTAATGACTGCAGGTTTCATTCAGCTGGACCTTGGTTCGAGCTCCGACCTGATCAGGTGGACACGCTGACTTTCTTGGACTTAAGAAACGCCAGTGGATTTGCTTCAGGAGTTGAGGATGTTTTAACAAAAGCTTACAACTTGAAATATTTAGGTAAGTTTAACATCTTGTGCCTGTGGTTTATACTTTAACGGGAAGCTTAGCATCATCCCATTATTATCCCATCTAACGTAGTTACAAATCTACTGCGTATTTTAACGGTTTTTTAACACTGAAGAAGGGTCATATGCCCGAAACGTCTGTGTTTTCATGAACATTTTTGACACTTTCCGATGTTTATACATCCAGTATCGCTTCAATCGTTTTTAACCAAGTGTCACGCATCAGCAACGACTTTTTAGTCTACCAATATACTAGCTTAGCATTATGCATATCTGAAGCTAAGAAATAACAGTTCTTTTTTTTTCTAATTTCACCAAACTTACTGTGTTTTATGGACTGGGTATTCGTGTGCATTATTTTTCTTAAATAGTTTTTTTTTTACTTTGTGGATACCAAGGAAGGGCTGGTGCCGTGAACAAAAGAAACTTGTATTTCTGAAGCCATATTTTACCGACTGACGACCGTGTATCAGAATCATGTTGTATTTGCATCTATTGAAATACCATAACATGCCATATTATCCCATGTCATACCATGTCATACCATGTTACGTATATATCAGTTACGTAATGTTTCTCGGGTGGCATACCGCAAAATATCCCACGATTGTGTTAATTTTTCAGTATTCCCGGGAGCCTTAGGGTGGGTGTGCATCCAAAAACAATATCAAGTTATGAACGAAAAACATTGTAAAGCTATTTATTTCTTTTCCTTGCTTACGATTAAAGGCTCTCTCAACATGATACACATTTAAACGATATGTGGCTTTTCCAAAATAGAATACCTGGATCCTTATATTATTTGACCTTAACTCCGTTTTGGCAAGTCGAACGTCAGAAAAGGTAGCCTACAAGCCTAGCCTTGACAACCTTTAAGAATGTTTTCACCCGAATGCTTTTACCCGAATCATCAGCGTTTTGCCCGAAAAATTTCGAAAATTTCTGAAACTGGGGGGCTGGAACACCCCCCCGCCCCTGCCCGTACGCCTATGTCTCCGGTTCTTATTTCTAAGGGTGTTGGGAAACATTGCCATTGATCATTTGACTGTTGCCTCTAGGTCTTCACTCCTGTATTTGTACCAAACTGTTGATAAGAATGTTCATGACAAAGTACAACCTGTGTATTGTGGATTGTACGCATTGTGACTGGGTCACAGATGAAACTATACGTATCATCGCCGAGAACTCTTTATTTTTGGAGTCGATATGTGTGGCAAAATGCCGTAATGTGCAAGGACGAACATTGCCAACATTGCTAGGAAAATGTTCGCGTTTAAAAACGCTTATTTTAGAAGGAACTCAATTACGAGACGAATATGTCAAGATGACGGATTGGGTTCAAACAAACATTACGGAGTTGAATGTACTAAGCTGTTATCGCCTGTCATTTTCTGGCCTGTCAGACGTGTTACCAAAGCTGAAGCGCCTGCGCTACTTGAAATGCGCGCTGACCGATGAGATCCTTCGATCGATTACGGACGGTTTTCCTTCACTGGAAGTTTTTTTCCTTCACCGTCGGTATCCTGTCACGGTACAGTGTGTTAGTGATTTACTATTTCACTGTCCAAGTGTAACTTGTTTGGATATTTCTTCAATTCCATTAGCGTTTATCTATTTTGAGAGCTTTCTTCCTTGCATGCCTCGGCTTAGGCTACTGAGTTTTGCAGGTAACGAACTCTTGGGTACCGAGAAAATTCTCCGTTCATTGGGTCGAAATTGTCTTGACTTGGAAGTTGTCTGTGTGAACTATTTCCATTCAACAAACAACTTTGAAATCGAACGCTCGTTTGTGTTTTTAATGCAGAATTGTCGGCGGCTCAAAGAACTTATTCTAAATGGTTTATTTGTAAGTAATTTAGTGGCTTGCATTCAGAGCTTGGCATATCATGTGTGCAATAGGAAAGATATATCAATCGCAGAAAATAAGCACTTTTTTCTTCCAGGGCCACGAAATAGCTTAGACAATATTAAAAATGCTACGTATCAATAGTTGTCTCTGTTGTAGAAATTGTTATCTTTGTTGTTACATTTTTTGAAGAACGCGTTAGAACAATAAATTTTGCTGTTCACTTATCATGCTAAGTGTTTTCCAATCAGCACTTGAGGCGGTGTACTTATCAACGAGTCCCTTAGTAAGCTATTTCATTTGCCTCTGTTTCAAAACGAGTCCTCGTGCGAACCTTTGCATATGAAAAGGAATTTGACTTATATGAAAATAAACATGCAGGTGAAGAACACTTTTATACAAATGGTTTCGCATGACTCGTTTTGACATAGAGGCAAAAGGCGACTCAGAAAACATCAACAGTAAAATATATGCTGGTTCCCTTGATAAATGATACATTTTGTGCTTTTGACCTTGTTCGTGAAGCCAGGGAAGTGCCAAAGAAAATGTACAAAAAAGACCCTCTGCCTTGTACAAACAAATTAAGTATTTATTAGACAGGTTCTTTAAAAACTGTGCTGATAAATCAAATCAAGAAAAATTTATACTTCGATAAACTTTTAATCCTGGGTTAGTGTTAACTGACTTCCGAACAACCCGGCCCTGATTAGAACAAGTTAACCAGAGGTGAGCCCGCGATCCAGTCGAAAGCCAGCACTTGGTCAGCGTGATCTCGATAAGCTCTAAACTTGAGCCCGCAATATGGTCACATGATACTGGTCAGGTATCAATTGACTATAACATGGATGACCAATATCAAAGAAGCATGCTATAAACCAAGGATGCATGTCTCGGTCAACCTATTAGCTGGAGTATTACCGCCATCGATCTTGCGCGAGTCCGTCCCCCTCGACGCCGTCGTCGTCGTCGTCGTCGTCGTCGTGCATACGCGCCCACGCGCAATACCGCTAGCCATGATACCTGTGAAAAAATTTGTGCATGGTTTTCTTTTTCTCTCCTATAAAAGTATGGTGCTCCGCTTTGAGAGCTACGCTATAAATTAGGGCTACACACTTACAAAATTTGATGTATACCATGTGTACCTGATATACGTAAGGTAGCAATTTTATGTTTTATGACATTTGTTACGTAACTGTATCTATTATTTTATACGTATTGCGGACCCAGGAAGTGTTGTTGGCCAATTTCTGCCCACGTCCTTGATACGTGAGTAAGTAAAATTTTGGATGTTAATTTATTTTTCAAAGATGACCTTAGATGTGTAGATATTGGAAGCGTGAGCTTGAACGTGAACAATCGGTAAGTTCGCTGCCTTGCAGTTTCGAACATTGAACTGCTAGTTGTTATGGAATAGTTGGAATAAAACATATTGTTTCTCTTTTATATTTGGTTAAAGTTCCCGTTATATCATGTTTTTATTACTGTCGATAACGACTTTTCAGGATAAAAGTCACGTGATGTCTTGCGTCGTATTACCACCCGAATTAACTTACATAGAGATATCGTGTGCAGGAGAGCGTGTTCCCAAACAGCATTATTTTTGCACAATTTTATTTTTGGCAAGAAGCCTGGAGTGGTTTATATTTTCGACACTCTAAGCCTTTGAGAACGTTTACACGCCGAGACATTCTGTAGTGGCGCTTATTAGAAGAGGGCACTTACATCCAGAAAATACAAGAAACTATTACTGCCTTGACATAATTTCCACGCAAACCTAAAATGTCCTTGAGGGCCAGGCCCGCATTGAGGACATTTTTTGTTTTTCTAAAAAAGCAGGTATTGCTTTATTCATTGTGAAAATAAAAAAAAAAAACGAAGATAAACCTTATCTGTCGTCAAGTGTCGCTTGGTTTAAGATTTCTCGGCGGTAATGTAAATTTCTGTCGGGAACAATGCCGAAACAGCACATTTGGTAAGCTTTCTACCTCAACAGTGCAGGAAATAGTAGGCAATGCCATCCCACAAACCACAAAAAGCCACAAAATGTCTCAACTACTTAGAGATTGACTTGAAACAATCGAAAAGGTGTGTAAATATTTGTACAACAAGAACGACTATCGAAGAAGATCTTCCCGTAAACCGTTTGTTATTTGCCACAATTTTCCGGAATGAAGACAACTTTGGAAGTGATTATGCTGAGGATAGTTTGGAAGAAAACTATATTACGTTGCTTTCCGCCGCCTGACATGCTTCATTCAACTCAAAAATAGAACAACAAGACACAAATTTTAACTTCCGGTCTTTTCACACCGTCACGTCGTTTAAAACTAAAGGAGATGTCCACATCATACAGTAGATTGAGGATTTAATAAAACAATCGTTCCAGACGTCCTTATTGGATACGAGATGACTATAACAAACTCGAGCCTTGTTATTTATCTATCACCTGGTGTCGAAAGTGGGCTCATGAAATAATTGTTAATTAACTACCCTTTGAGGGTGGGATTTCTATTTTCTGAGGTCTCACTATTTAGGCAATTTTTCAATGTTCTGTTGAAAGTTTGTGCTTGCAGGTTTATCAATTGTTCAATACCGGCAACACGTTGTGTTTATTATTGAAACTTTGGAGGCGTGCAATCTAAGAAGCTGAAGTGAAGCATTCTTTTGTTTCGTGCTCACTTTAGACACCCACGGCGCACCCATTTCACTCCATGACCCTTCAGACAGCCTCCATACTTTTCACAATAAGACCTGATAACCAAATCACGCAAGAAAGCATACTCTACCAAGAGGGTCAGCCCAAATAAAATCATCAATAGTCATTTGGCGATGTTTCAGCCACGACAGTCACGGAAACACTCACAGGCATCGCGCATGAATTCTTCCTTCGCAATATGTGGATAATGCTCTAGATATGTTAAGTATTTTAAGCAACGCCTCTGATCCCCTTATACCTTGGCCATTTTGTTTTGTCGAAATTTTGAACCATTAAGAATGATTTGATTAATATCCAGTATTATCAAGTGACAACAACCATCAGAGGTCGATGTGAGTGGCTCATGAACTCGGAAATGATAAAGTATAACGACCCAGCTTCAAAAGATGCCACGGCGCCACAAGCACGATTCCAAAACATCCACTGATTGGAGATTAGAAGTGGATCTCTTTTAGATAACAGTGAACGTTTTGCGACATTTCACAGAATAAAACTGTTCGGAGTACTAATACCCTGTCATTTCCATACACAGATAACAAACACCTCCTAATAATCCAATAAATTTCTTGTTTTGTCTTCTGAGAGAGGACAGTAAACTAAACAAAAGGTTACTGGAGAAACGAAAAGCTTCAACTTAGAACTTATCAGTCAACTTATCAGTCAGATGTAATGTTAATAGGTAATAAGACTATAGTAGAGTTTTGAACATAAAATGCCGATAACCGTCGAGTTGTTCGAACACTTTTTTAAAACTTCGGATTGTAATTTTAAGCGCAGTCTTATAACCTTTGTGGTAGGCTCCAGCGACAAGCCCGGGGCGACAAGCTACTTTTGAAGCTGTACCTTGGAGTCAGAATCAGGGACTTCATATCTTTATATCTTTACGGTTTTTCTTATCTTTACGGCTTTTCTTTACTTGCAATGAATAACAATTTCAAATACTAGCATTTGAGATAACGTGGTTTAGCAGAAAAACATGCCCGCGACGTAGCAGCAACAAGGTTTTATTGTCAGTCGCGGGACGGTATAACAACATATGCAAACATGTTATTTTTGCAATTTGACCCGGCTTTGTGGAAAGACGTAATAAACCATGCTCAAATACCGGGAAAGAAAATAAAACGTCGTCTAGGATCTCCGCAGTTCTTATAACTCAAAAGATATTGTTTACATATCCAACTAATATTTTCTTGAAAATAATTACGATCATTTAAATAAGCCATACCTTGGAGAATTCTGCAATCTCAAAATACAAGTCGAGATAGGCTTAATGATTTTACAGAGAGACGTAGATTTCAACGATATGTATTCCACCAGACCAATTCTTCAGGTTTATTCCTCGGTCAAAACATATGTCGTAAGGACTAGTTAGATTACTTTGCAGCCAACTGGATTGGAAACGATTTTTCATTGCGTTTTTATTACTCCAGACACATGGTCACACGTTCTACAAAACAACTGATGCACTGTAGTGACAGGTCACGAGTCATTTCGTCTTTGGTGTTGTCGTTTCTCAATAGATGCGGAAGCAGCAGTCAGCAGTGCTGTTTTGATGTTTTGAAGCGATTCGTCTCTCTTTTTTTTCTCCTTTAAGTGTCCTAATTATTTCCAGCGCCTATAAACAGCTACAAATTACAATTTCCCAGCGAAGTGAAATCAATAGGAAAATAGTCTTTTCATAAATAGATTTATGATCATTTATAGAAAAAAGAAAGAGAAGAACAGATATTGTTCGTTCTAATATAAACCTACGAGTGAGTAAGACAAGCTTTTTAAATGTGGATATTATAAGTTCCAAGTTCCTCGCTTTTTCCAATTATAGAAGATACTCAAAATGATTTTTCTGATCGTTGTTATTTGTGAGCGTGTCACTGTGTAAGTGTTTTCTAGTTAACTTGATCCATATTGGTTCTTCGGAGCAGTTAATAGCGAGCAGTTATCGGCCGACTAGGGCAATAAAAATCAGTCTTGGAAAAGGTTTACCAAGGTCACTTAGTCAGAAAAAATTCCGCTGCAATCAATGATCACTCTCTAATTAGTTTGCTTCCCCAGTTCTCAACTATTTGAGCTGAGCCGGACAAGCTCTCATATGCCCCATTAGCCCTGACCTTGTTTCGATTCCAGAGTATATTTTTAGAAGGGAATATCGATATTCTTAGAAAACATGAAAAAGGGGCCAACATCACTTTCAGTATTTTTTGAAAGGTTTTGATATATAGGCAAAGACGAAATGTCTAACAAAGTCGCTAAAATTTCATCAGTTCGTTTTCGTGCTTGTTGGTGCTCTCACTACAACTTGAAACCTACAAGAATTGTATAAACTTGTGGGTACAATAACATTACGAAAAATGTTTTTCTTGATACATGGTTGTTTTGTAATAGCCATGATAGCTTTTAATAAAGGTTTGATAGGGGTCAAATAGGCTGCCTCAGAACATCCGGTGGAATTCAAAATGTCACGGGAGTTGTGGATTCGCGTGCTGAAAGCTCATAATCAAGTATCAAGGTAAAAAGAAGAAAAGAACTCAAGTGAGATATGCAAGTGGACACATTCTGTGTAATCCAAAGGAAAAGTTCAAAAATGGTTTAGTTGTAAAGTTTTTTTCTCAGTCAAAGGGAAGCCGTCCGCATAGAACACATTTATATCAGTTTCGGTATCAAGGTGAAATTTCAATATCAAGGTAAAAATGAAAAGTTATCAAGATCTCACATGAGGACTGCAAGTAGACACATTCTGTGGATTGGTGCTTAAGTTGAAATACGGTTGTGAAGTTTTTTCTTCAAAGGGTGGTCGTCCGAATAGAACACATTTATATCAGTTTCAGAGTAGAAAGAAGTCTTTTTCAGTAGAAATGAAGTCCGTGTACTGAATCAACTGCCACAAAAATTAGAAAACAATATTATACCTTTATATGGAATACAAAGATGTTAGAGTGTTTTTGCTACGGCAGGCCAACAAGCTTAAGCTGACAAAACTGATAGCTGCTCTAAACATCGGACAATATTGATAGCCATGTTTATTCCATCCTAAAAAGCTGTTGAAGCTTAAAATGGCATATTCCATTTTTTTATTTTTTTTATTTTTAGAGACTGTTTCTGACGCAATATTGGAATCACCCACATTTTAATTTTTTTTTTTTTTAACGTGGAAATAATGACAAAAAAAATTCACAGAAAACCGCAACCCTCCGGTGGTTGATGGTGGTAAACTCGTATCTCGGCTAAAAGCGTAAACAACGATATGGCAGCATGTTGAATTGAAATGCTTTAATTGTTTACCATTCGAACTGCTTTTAATTGTTTCCATAATTTCTATAGCTCGAATATAAGTTTTTTTTTAGAAGTCGCTGATCTATTTACAGTGGTAGGCTGCGAACATTGCTAATAAAAACAACTTTGTTTTTCATCATGCATCCGTTGCGTTCATATGCAATCATTATTGTTTATTATACCCTGACCAACATTACTTTAAGATATTCTACCAGATGCTCATTTTTCTTGAGTCGTGCTATTCCTGATCTTTAACAAAAGAAAACCTTTACCACAGGAAAACAAAAGAGCCAAGAGAACTCTTCCTTAAAACTCAACCTACAAAAACTTTGGCAATCATTTTTCGCAGGCTAAGAAACCTTATCTGGTCGATATCTTTTTCTATTCGGAGCTAAGTAGATATGAACTCCACGAGCGAAAATATTGATACTAATAGAAACTGAACGTCCTTGAATAGCTCGGGCCGCCACGTGTGTCTTAACGTCGAGAAACAGTCTAAAGGAAACAAGAACGACTGCAGTTTATGAGAGAATTCGTATTCATCCACATCCAAATACATGGCATACACATGCCGGTACAGCAGAAACACGAGTGCTTTCTTAGGCGTTGGCGGAACGTGCAACAAAACGGACGGCAAGGCGGTCATGGATGTCGTTATCGACAATTCTAGTTCTGCGTATATCCGCTGGGCACCATCCAGGCGGTCTTAACTGAGGGGATTCGGAACTACACGTTAATCCAGTTCATCACGCAACTGTACTATCGATCCTTCCTTCATGAGCTAGGGAGTCTTCAAACCACCCTTGTGTGAAATTCGTAGCCGGCTTGGTTGTAACTGTCCGGAAAAGACGTAAAGCACTACTTTAGTATAACTGAAACGTATCATCAACGGCATCCTAAACCAAATAGCTAGAAATGTTTATTTCGATCATGTGTGCAAAAGAAAATTATATTTAAACAAAAAACAATTGGCCTTTTAATAATTTCGTAAAGAAAGTTGCAAACTTGTGAGCCTTGATGAACAAAATGAGTGAAGAATGAGCTTAAAAACGAGATCTTAAAATTAATAACCTAACGAAACTGTTACAACAATAGTGGAATATGGACTCATCCGTTATACTTCTTTGTTTGTTCTATACACTCAGTAAAGTGGAGTTGTATGTTCACAAGCGAGAGATTTGTGCAATGAGCAAATGTCAATGCAAATGCCAAAACAGTTCTGATTAAATCGGGATCTTTACCAAAACGAATTTACACACAATGACTTCGATGGTAGCCTGGCGGTGCTTTGCAGGGCAAGTAACTCTATCCCTGCTGATTGCGCAGAATGTTTTTCCTGCATCCAGCGATTTCTTTCTTTATGTTCTAGATAATTTTATGTAGAATGCAATGTAAATTCCCTGACGTTTATCAAAGTAGCGAGAAGCAGCAATACTCGTTTAACTCTCGAAACTATAGTGCTTGTATTCAGGGGTTAGTTCTCAAAACCAAAAGTAAACCTGACAGTTAAAAAGATACTTCAGTATTGTTCATACAGTCGCTTAGATTGTGACGTCACATGGGGGCTCGTTAAAAGAAAGACATGAAATTGAATGCAGTCATTTGGTGGAATATCTTGGACCGCCAGATTACTTTTGCCGGGCTTATTTCTCGCGCAAGTCCAAAGCTTCGTGGGCAGGCAGGTAGGTTGCTGCCATCACAAACTATGAATACATGAAATTATTACAGTTGTATTATAACTATTTCATTTAAAACCTGTTTTATACAGCGCAAAAATTAAATGTGTATTTATTTCGAGAAATTTTATTATAGCATACCAGCTAACTAGTTCCACTAGCCGTTACTTTGTGTTACTTGTATGTAGCAGAGACAAGTATTTAGAAACTTGCTATTCCTGTTAATTCGTGTCAAGAAAGGGTAGCTTCATACAAATGCCTTGCTAATCGTGTTGATCTTTTTATTGAGCAGTATACAGATGCCTCAAGATATTGGTCAATTTCAAGAAGAGGCCGGTCCATTAATTCCTGAAACACAAGTTTCCTAGATATCTAAAAGACCTTGTAGGAAAGTGAAGAGCTACAATTTTAAAGCACCAACTGCATCTGAACAAGATCCGAGGATAAATGACTGAAGGCTTAAAAAGGTTTGGTGGGGAACTCTTTGATGCAAATATCGTGTCAAAGCCAACTGTCTGTGCACGTGGAAAGTTATTTTTATATACACACAGTTGAAATGGTGTATGGTCCATTACCTTTGACCCTTGAAACTGTGCTAATCGTACAGACCAGTTTGATTGTTGGATTTAACAGTGCTGTCTGGTTCCTGTTCTTAAAGCGCCGTAATCTGCGAAACAAGTCTAATTATTTCATGGCCTCACTCTCCGCATCGCATCTTTTCCTCGGGCTGTTCGGTATACCTTGCTATGTATCATCTCGAAGGAAAATGAATTCCACTCTCGTTTTATGTACAGAGGTTTTCTACTACTTCCTGTGTTCCTCGATTCTTAACATGTACCTGGTTACTTACGAACGCTATCTATCAATAATGAAACCACTCTATTACCATCGGCGCATGAGCAACACGTTTGTGGTAGCAGCGATCTGCACAGCATGGCTGCTTCCGAGCGTGCCCATTACAGTTGACGCATTATTTAGGACTACGATGAGAATGCATCGTTTCTCCACTGGCTACCTGGTTTATCATTGGATGCAAACGCTGACGTTCCTGGTTATATTTCTGTTACTTGCAGCAGTGAACACGGCCATGTTTCGTGTCGCCAAAAGACAGCTCCAAGCAATACAGGCAGCTCATGTCATGAACTCAACAATCCACCGACGACTTAGCGGACAGTCCAATAGGCGAGAAAAAAGAACAACTTTTTTCTTTGTTTATATCGTTACTACATTTGTGGTGTTCTGGCTTCCCAGGATTGGATGTGAAGTCTACGAACTTGTTCATTACAAAATTTTGGATCACACCGACCTTGACGTTGTAACTTTGTGTATTGCTCTTCTCAATCCAATATTCGACCCTCTTATTTATCTGTTTTTCAAAGCCGACTTTAAGAGAGCAATGCGAAAAATGCTTCGTAGAAGATATATGCTTCGCGCCCGTGTGTCTCCCGTTAGAAATGTGTCACGGGTAAATTAACTTTAACTAGATCTAGATTTAACTTGGTCTATTGTATTTCTTTTCTAGGTTTCAATTTTTTTTAAGACTTCTAAATTCAGTAGTTAACAAAGAGGTAAAGTTATATCAAGGCAAAAAACTGAATTAACCATAGCAGACAAATGAACAGAAAGCACTTCACTCACATTAATTTACAACTGAAAAGTTAGATTTCCTCGCAAAGCAAAGACATTTGTTTTTTTCTTGAACCACTGATTCGAGAAATAAATATCAAATGCACTTTGGTTTATAATTGTTGATAGATCAAAACTTACTGCGAGAGTTTTCGTGACAAGAAATTAGCCTTATCGATTTAACCTCAACAAGGGATTCAAAGAACGCTAAACGTAAGCCGCTCTTTTCCGGCATTATTTATTCGAGTGAAGTGTTTAATCAAGTCCTTGAGAAACAAATGGACCTTGTCGTGTTTGAGAGTTTTATAGACCTGTGATACAAATATTACAAGCAACGGAAATATTCTTTTTCATTATCTAAGTTTAATTCTGATTGATTGCGGTAAAACGTTCAAAACACAACTAAAGGCACAAACCATGAATAAAAGTCCTACATTTGGGCATAATTTATTCTTTTCACCGGAAGTAAATTCATAGCCTATCTCAAACCTGTATATAGGTGGGCATGTAAATAAAATTCGAATAAGTAATTTTTAATTACGATGAGTACGATTGTTTTTGACCAACTTATATATTTTGACAATTCGAGGTTTTCACTGAGAAACGTTTTGAAGAGTTTGGCGGCTAAAAGGTCTAAAGAACAGCATTGGAAGACGCTGTGTTTTGGATGAGAAAGACTGGAAACTTATCAAGAGCTTGCAACATGTGATGCGGATTCGTTGCTTCGAATTATCAATTTCTACTTCACCCCCCCCCCCCCTCCGCAAAAACAGCACATTTCCTGTAGCTTTCAGTTTTTCTTAAGGTTAATGTTTTGAGCAACTAAATTTAACAATTTTTTACCCATTATTTAGCAGCTGATTAATTAAGTGATTTCTTCGATCCTAACTGACTGTTCTCATCACAACTGAAACAAGTTAATTTTTTTAGCGAAATTTGTGATTTTTCAAGAAATAGGGACAGGTCTTTATCATCTGGGAGCCAAGGAAAGAGGGTACTAGGATTTTGGTATGAAACCCGATTCTAGTACCTGATCTCCTCTCTGGTATATTTTCGTCAGTCCACAATTGAACACCACACGTCTCCTCGTCGATGCTTATTAAATGTTCTCTTGAAAAATACGCCCAAAACAAGGAAAAATGATAAATTCGAAAAATTCAATTAGCGACTCCTTTGCATAGTTTAAGACCCAGTCTAGCCTAAGTCCTCGCCAATTTTGGTATAGCGAAACAGATCGGTCGAGTGTCGTATCCATTTCTCGTCTAAAAATTATAGTCACGAATTTAATCGTTCGAATTGAGCTCACATTCGAATTGAGAACACAGCTCATCAATTTTGCGATTTTCAATATCTCAGGCTTTATCAGCAGTCAATCAACCAACCAACCATGCAACTAATAAACCTGTGGCCCTCGATTAAGAATTTTAAAAGACTTCTTATAACTATTTTAAGACCTAAAAATCTAAATATACAAATATAAGAACATGATTAACCGCCGCCTGGTTAGCTCAATTGGGAGAGCGCCGGACTGCTGTGCAGGAGGTCGAAGGTTCGAGCCCCAGACCGGACCAACACTCAGGGTCTTAAAATAACTGAGGAGAATGTGCTGCCTTTGTAATTACATCTACAAATGGTTA